AAAAAAAAAAAAAAAAAAAAAAAAAAAGCTCAAGTAACCAGGGCTGGCATTACACTAGAAGTGTTGCAGTTTACTCTTTATATTTGGGCTTCAAAAAGCGAAATCAAGGGTACGAAAATTCATCAGCTAGCTTTTGTACTCTTGTTAAAGGCAGACAGTTATCCTCACATTCTTTAACTAGATGTCCACATTAGAAATACAAGGATCCTTATATAAAACACTGTACCATGATTACAGTAAGAAGTATACAGGGAAAAGGATCTTTGTCTCTGCCCTTCTAATCTCTAAGTGCCTTTCCCTCCTCAAACTTCTCCACTGCCTGGTCCCCCACCTCTCCATTTCCTCTTGTAGGAGGGGCGACATGGCAGCTGCCAGCCAACATGTTTGTTTTGAGCCAAAAGTCTGAAGAAAAAAAAAAGTCAAAGACAAAGCTTTATGTGTATGTTGGCACACATGTGAATTCAGGCTGCTGAAAAAAATAACACACAAAGAGCACATTCATGGCCACAAACAAGTCCCTGAACACATAAATAGCCATCCTTGATCCGTTCTGTGTGAGGTGCTGTTATACAGCATGACAGGAATTCTCCATACACATCCTGACAGGCTAAATATTACCAGATCCATTTTGCAGATGAAGAAACTGAGGCTCAAAAGGCTATGAAGTTCATCCAACATCACACAGCTAAAAAATGGCCGACCTGGAATTCCAACCTAGCTATATTTCAAACTCCCAAACCTGGACCCCCTGGCTCCAGCACAATGACAACTAGGAAAAGCTACAGAACTTGCCACACATACCCCTTGGACCACTCAATAAGGCCTCCGTGGGACGCAGACAGGGGAAGTGTAAATTAAATCCATTTAAATCAGTAAGGGGAGATCCTAAAGCGTATTTTAGACATTGACTTGAACCTCCTCCCTACCTAAACTTTAGTGTTTTCCCTCATTCCTTAATTGGCTAATTAAGTATTTCATCTTATCTCTTTCTCATGCCTTACCTGTAACAAAGCTCACAGCACTATTCTGAGGTTTAAAATGAATTTTTTAAAAACACAGCTTTTGGTGACTAAGTACTGAAGCTCAAATGCAAGAATTTGATGAACTCCTTATTCAAAAACAAGAATATGAAACCCAGGTGGGCTATACTGTGCAATCAAAGGGTTGATGTTTGCTCCCGTGGAGCAAATTTAAACCTCTAATAAGGAAGGCAGGCACTGGAAAATGTAAAAACCCTCTAGTTCTTGACATTTAGCTCATCCATTCAGGGCAAGCAAGAATTAGTCTTAAAATTGTTTATTTTTCTCTGAATTCCTTATGGTTCTTCCATATCAAAAGTCTAACTGTCCTTTCTATTACAGCCACCAGCGTGACCCAGTATGCACAAATCTGAATAACTCAAGTATTAATAATAATTACATGTTTAAGCTAATGATGGAAATTGCGTAAATGCCTGGGATTAGCAGAAAAGGGCTTCTCTTCAGCCATCTCTCTCATGCAGGTCCCTACACCTTCAGAAAAAACGTCTGTCAAGGGTCTGTCCTTGAGATAAGATGCTGGTAGAGGGGCTTGGATAAACACCCAAAGTGGTAGGAAGTCAGTGTGTTCTTCCCACTCTGATGTCCTGGCCTGAGGTCACCAAAAGCTGGATGTCTGCCACCTCTGCCAGGACGCAGCCACTATGAACAATACTACAACACCACTTCAGTCCAGTGAAGAGGCACCCTTGAAAGGCAAACCACGTACAGAATGCTACTGCATTGTAAGAGACTTTTCTAGGCAGGACTGGCTGAACCCTGGGCCATTAGACTACAAAACTCTAAAAGTAGATACAGCGTTTTCTATTTTCCTAAAGTTTCAGAGAAAGAACAACAGACCTTACAACTGTACTAAAGCAATGGTTCTGAAGCAAAAGTAAAGTATAACAAACTTAGTGACATACAAATGAACTAATTTTGCATCTCATGCCACCCATGCAGACTGGGCAAAAGGGTATCATGCCATTCAGCTCCCACTCATTAACCCCATCACCAAACAATAAGGTAATTATAATACAAGGTCTGTAGTGCTGTGGTATTATCACACCTGCTGCTGTCAGGCAGCCTTTTAAAAAAAAGGAATCATTGGTTGAACGTGGGGGAAAAAGCAATCAATACCATTTTAATGAAACTGAGCGTGGGCCAATTAAAATTTACAACAGCTGCGTGGAGGTGTAAAAAGAGGGAGATCTTGGCTCCTCTGGAAACTACCTGTGGTTCCTGTAAGTGGCTAACATGCTTCCAGATTAATTTCTGATATTGGGGGTGGAGAGAATGCTATCCCAGCAACACTATACCAACATGGCCATAAATCCCCCTCGGGCCCCCAGGTAGCTAGGGAAACTTTCCGTCCTTCTTGTGTTCACTCTGCACCAGCTGTTTCCTCTGCCTGGAATACACCCTCCAGGTGAGCACCACCTCCATCCTCTAAGTCCAGTGCACACCTCACCAGGACAAAGCTCGCCTCAGACTCACAGAACCCCCCTTCCATGCATTATAATTCAGCCTTGAGGTTTCCTCCACGAGGCTGCAGACTCCTGCCCCGTGGTCTTGTTTATCATCTTCCTATTCCCTGTTCCTAGCGGAGTAAAAGCTGGGTTTGTTGGATGACTGAGTGAACTAATCCATTTCAAGAAGTTAACACATTGGTGGAAACTCTGTAACTACCCGCGCCTGCAGTCTAGAGATTCCTCACCTTCACAAAGAACCTGCGGCAGCCAGTCCCCAGGCTTAAGCGGAAACCCTACAATCTCTGAAATTGTAGGTGGGAATAAGGGGGTTGGAGAACAGGAACTGAAGGAAGTGAGAGGGAAAGGGAGGTAGGGGCAGCGTTACCTCACTACTCTCTCCAGACGAAAAGGTGTAAACCCCATTTACAAGTATTCAAACCTGAGATCTGGGGGTCACGTGAGGAAGGAGAGGCTGTTAATACCTAGAACTTTGAAAGTGTGAAGTGGAGACTTGATCTGAAATTGTGTGGCCACAGTTTTTTTCTACGAGCCAGCCCGACCACCCAAGCAAGAGCCTAGACGCCCAAGAGTTAGGTGGCACTACTGGGGCCTAATGGGAGGGCAGGAAAACTCCGCTCCCCTCAAGATCCCTTCCCGGTGGTGGTGGGGGGGTAAGGTGATTGGGGGCGGCGGGCAGCTGCATCCTCCTACCGCTGCAACGATCGCGACATCGTTCGTCTTTCACCCTCTGGCCCCCAAGGTCTAGTTATCTCCGGTTGCTCTTTCGAGGTCCCCTCTCGTTTCCCAAACGCAGGAGAGAACGGAGAGAGGGGACGAGGGTGTGGGTTTAACCACAAACTCCCCAGACGTCGCTCACCTTCCAGCTCACTCCCGGGACAAGCTTTGCGCCCCACCGTGGGCAGCTCCCACCACGAGATAACACCCCTGTGGCCCGGCCACCCCGCGCCCCCATGCCCTGCCAAGCGTCCCGGGCCGCAGTTGGCGTTGCCAGCGTCTGCCGAAGTCATCTGCAGGGCGCCCGGAGCGCCTAGGCGGCCTCCAACCTCGGGCCCGACTCCCCGGCTGGGACGGGGCTTACCTGCTTACATGGCCCCCGTGGCGCCCTGGAGTCCTGCGCGGAAAGGCTGTCCTTCGCGACGGCGGCGGATCCCCGATTCCCCACGGAATTGATTCCAGTGGCTGGCGGCGGAGGGAAGGAGCCGCAGGCGGCGAAAGGGGAGGAAGGTTTCCGCCGCGATCCCGGAGCGAGAGTCGGAGCAGGGGCGCACTGGGGGAGAAAAGGAGAAAAACCTCGGCACGGGGCTGTCCCGCCCGAGGAGGCCGGGGAGGATGGCTCAGCTGGGAGGGGAAGGAGCGCCAGTGGCCACTTGGTGTCTGTCTACGGCTCCCCGAGGACCTGAACCAGGAGAGGAGGCGGCCGAGCCCCGAGGAGCACAGCAACCTGCCCCCGAGTCTGCGCCCGCTGCGCTCGCTCGGCGGAGAAAAAGTTGGGAAGAACTTCGAGGGGCCGGGAGCGCCAGAGCGGCAGGAAATGCGAGCGGCCGGGAGAGGAGGGAGGAAGGGGCCGTGCGAGTGGGAGGGGACGGAGCAGGCGCCGGCGGCCGCGGCTCCCCCACCCCAGAGCCGGGCTCGGCGGCGCTGGGGGCCTGGAGGCGGAGGGAGCGCGGGGCGCGCGGCCGGGGGCGGGGAGGAATGCGGCCCGGGAGGGCGCGCGCCGGAGGCGCCGCGGGCGCGCGCTGAAACGTGGAGCCCGAGCTCCCGAGCTCCCGAGCTGGAGGCGCGCCGTCCTTGGGGACGTCACAGCGCTGGAATCCGAGGAATGCCGGGCAGCAGGAGCTCCTTCTGCAGGCCCGGGAGAAGTCGCGTACTTTTAATGGGGTAGCTTTGGAAAATGTTTTAAAAGGTGGGGGCCGAGGACGGAGGACCGGATGAAATACCCTGGAGTGAGGGACGTGGAAGTGGAGAAGGCAAGGCAACCGCAGCCACCCTAACCTTGCGCGGCTCCCGCCGTGGGGTAGAAAGAGGCAAGGAAAGGAAGATCCCACCGACTTCCGAGGACCGCAGAGACGGGGCGGCGGCAGGAACTTGCCCACCCCGACCTAGATCAAGGACAGCCGACCTTGTATTGGGGAACTCTCCAAGCAGGACTCCTCATGCAGCCACCCCACAGGGGAAAACAGACCAGGAGAAAGTAAGGTGGCCTCACGGAGTAGGCAGTCTCAGAGATCTCTCCCCAGAACCTCCGGGTACTGAACCTGGTGTCTTAGCCTTCTCTCCCTGCCCCTTGCCACCCCCCAGGAATGATAAAAAGCAGCCTGTGTGCTGAGAGTTGGAAAATGTCTTTCTCCCGGTTTGTTCCATGCCACAGAATCGCCCCACCCTGCCTGGGTAGGCACTGGGAGAGAACTTCCTTAGCACTTTCGGAGGTGGAGTTAGTGAGACGCAGCTGGTAAGATGGAAAAGGCTCGGTTCCAGGGGACTGAACCTGGGTGTTAGGCCCTGCCCGATTGGATAACTGAGGAGTATGTCCCAGCCCCTGAGATCCTAGGTTTCTGTAGCTGTAAAATTAAAGTATTTGTCTAGATTTCCGTGATCCTTTGCATTGCTGCAAACATGTCTTGGGATTTGTTCGCTGGGACCCAAATCCAGTCCTTTGTTGAAAATGGACCTTGAAGTCGTTGTCACAGAATGTATTGTCCGAAATCAGTTCAGTGTCCGGCAACTCATGGAAAAATTCCTGGACTCTTAGGGAAGAGAATTGGAAATCAAAAAAGCAAAGCCTTATCGTACCCACCATGTACAAATCTGTACCGATGGGTCGGGCGCGTTGGCTCACGCCTGTAATCCCAGCATTTTGGGAGGCCCAGGCGGGCGGATTGCCTGAGCTCAGGAGTTCCAGACCAGCCTGGGCAACAAGGTGAAATCCCGTCTCTACTAAAATACAAAAAAATTAGCCAGGCGTGGAGGCGGGCGCCTGTAGTCCCAGCTGCTCAGAAGGCTGAGGCAGGAGAATTGCTTGAACCTGAAAGGCAGAGGTTACAGTGAGCCGAGATCGCGCCATTGCACTCCAGCCTGGGTGACAGATCAAGACTCTGTCTAAAAAAAAAAAAAAATCTGTACTGAGTCTGAATTCTTCGAGCATCTGCCATTCTCTGGAACTACAAAGAATAAGAGAAGATTCGGAGCGCAATGCAAAAGTGATGGAAAGAAAAGGTTGAAGGGAAATCAGCTTTCTCATATTTTTAAGGAAATAGCTGTACAGATGTGCTGGGTTTCCAAAGGAAACATAAGGCAGTGCCCGACTGTGTTCCAGGAAGTGTGGAAAGCACTCCTCCCATTCCTAGGTGAGGAAAGTGGGGGCATGAAGAAATGACCCATCTCACTGAGTGTCATACAGCTAGGAAGATATGATCGGGCCCTCGTCTGTCCCGCCAAAAGTACATGCAAACATGATTAGAATTAAAGATAAGAAGATGCCTTCAGGTTTTCTCTTTTTTTTTTTTTTTTTTTTTTTGAGACGGAGTTTCGCTCTTGTTACCCAGGCTGGAGTGCAATGGCGCGATCTCGGCTCACCGCAACCTCCACCTCCTGGGTTCAGGCAATTCTCCTGCCTCAGCCTCCTGAGTAGCTGGGATTACAGGCATGCGCCGCCATGCCCAGCTAATTTTTTTGTATTTTTAGTAGAGACGGGGTTTCACCGTGTTGACCAGGATGGTCTCGATCTGTTGACCTCGTGATCCACCCGCCTCGGCCTCCCAAAGTGCTGGGATTACAGGCGTGAGCCACCGCGCCCGGCCAGGTTTTCAATGTAAAACTCCGGCTTTTGCTCTTTCCTGGGAGATGAGAGGCCCCTTGCTTGGTGCCTTTTCTGGTGGAAAGACTCTAGGAAATATATTTTGTTGCTCTAGCATCACTTGCTACTAAACTGAGCACAGCACGCTGAGGCTGTTGTGGCATAAAAGAAGCAAAGGACTTGCGTGCAAACACAAGAGCTCCGGTTCTGCCTCTGACCAACCTGGGACACTGATCAAGCCACTTCACCTCTATACCTGAATTTATTTTCTAAGTGGAGTGTGGCATAGAGGGCAGAACTTGGTTGGATTAGTTCATCTCTGAGGTCTTTCCCAGGTCTAAACTTGCATGAAAGTACCCTCCTCCAGATAGATGGTATGGCTATGGAGGAAACTAAGCAATAAAGCCAGTGGATAAAGCCAGTATCTGGGGACAGGACTGTTTTCCCATCGCCTTCAGATAAAAACGAACGTTGAAACTCGAATGAATGTAGCTGAGTGTTCAATGATAAGCAAAGCTAAGATTTAGCGCTAACCCTGTGGACGCAGTTTAAAAATGTAGATAATTTTGCTTTTAGAAAGGCAGTCTGAGGCCGGGCGCAGTGGCTCACACCTGTAATCCCAGCACTTTGGGAGGCCGAGGCGGGTGGATCACGAGGTCAAGAGATCGAGACCATCCTGGTCAACACGGTGAAACCCCGTCTCTACTAAAAATACAAAAAAATTAGCTGGGCATGGTGGCACGTGCCTGTAATCCCAGCTACTGAGGAGGCTGAGGCAGGAGAATTGCCTGAACCCAGGAGGCGGAGGTTGCGGTGAGCCAAGATCGCGCCATTGCACTCCAGCCTGGGTAACAAAAGCGAAACTCCGTCTCAAAAAAAAAAAAAGAAAATGTCCATCTCCTCAGGAAATCCCCTTGTGTGACTTTTTAGTCAGTGTCACCCTTCACCACCATAGATTTGTTTTGCTGGTTCTTAAACTTCATATAAATGGAATCAGTGTGTGTGTGTGTGTGTGTGTGTGTGTGTGTGTGTATGTGTGTAATATAAATTTGGGGGAAGAGGAAACACCAGAGCTCCCCCTCTCTGCACATGCCTAAGCCATGTGAGGACACAATGGGAAGCCTGCAAGCCAAGGAGAGAGGCCTCACCAGAAACCAACCCTGGCAGCACCCTATCCTTGGACTTTCCACCTCCAAAACTGTGAGAAAATTAATTTCTGTTGTTTAAGCGACATAGTCTGTGGTATTTTGTTACTGTTTTGTTATTGCAGCTCAGTCAGACCTATACATTCAGGTAAGCAGTTGGGGTGTGTGTGTGTGTGTGTGTGTGTGTGTGTGTGTGTGTTTAACATGGAAATAAACTTGTGACTTCAAGTACCCAGTACTCATATGTGTACCAGGCTATGATGTACCTAAGTACATGATAGAGCCGAGAGTCAAACCTGGACCTTTCTCATTCTAGTCTGTGTTCTTTCTATTCCACCTTGTTGCTGTACAGATCATTCAGCACTGCCATATGTCAGGAATAGCATTAGCAGGTAGCAGAAAGTATATGGTGACAACAGAAAATAAAAACATTGCAGGATGCCGTGTGAGTTTTAAATTCTCCATCACCGTAGTTTACCAGGGGACAACTGGTTCTTCGCCGACATCACATTGGGCTAATGGGAAGAGACATACCTGGGATATGCGTCTCCAGTTGTTTCAAATCCTTTTCACATGTTCTTCTGAGTGAGGCCATTACAAAGAGGAATGGAAGCTGCTGCTGTAAGATCAGAGAACACGTCCTTTTGAAGGACTTTGACACCTACGTTCTATTTATTTTGTTAGTTTCCAAGATTCCTATGAGTTAGTGTCCTTACCTATTAGCCACGTGGAGTCCACGAAGTGGCAGGTTGGGTGAAGGGTCCTTCTAGCACACAGAGGCTGCCTCTGGCTGGCCTGAAGTCACATTTTCTTGACTTCCTCAGAGTGTGGAATAGTTTCTGTTCATGATGTCAATCTCCAAATATCAGAAATACTCTAATTTCTAAGAATAGTTAGTTACAAATTTCTCAACCATGAACTGAGCGAAACTGTTCTTAGTCCTGTTTCTAGCTCTACCTGGGCCAGCTACCAGGAAGGTACAGAGCTATGGCCAAGGAGCCATCAACACCTTCTCAGAGTTGCACGAGAGCAGGTAAATTATATCTGTAATTAGCCCCATTTAATCCTCTCCAAAATAGCTGCTTGCTGCCATTTTGTGGCATGATAGTAAGCATAGATGCCAGGTGAAATCATTGTTCATAGGAGATAAAGTGATGATATTGTAAGAATATGTACTATTTTTTTTTTCTTGAGACAGAGTCTCTCTCTGTCACCCAGGCTGGAGTGCAATGGTGTACTCTCGGCTCACTGCAACCTCCTCCTCCCGGATTCAAGCAATTCCCCTGCCTCAGCCTTCCAAGTAGCTGGGATTACAGGCGCACGCCACCATGCCCAGCTAATATTTGTATTTTTAGTAGAGACAGGGTTTCACCATGTTGGCCAGGATGGTCTCGATCTCTTGACCTCATGATCTGCCTACCCCAGCCTCCCAAAGTGTTGGGATTACAGGTGTGCGCCACCGCGCCCGGCCAATATGTACATTTTTTTAGTCCTGTCCCACCAAACTTGGAAGAAAAATATTTGAAGCTGGGAGGCTTTCTCTTCTCATAATGACAATGTTTAGAACAAAGGGGCCAGTCCAGATGTGGCCCCCTTGTTGACACTCTCTCTGGTAATATTTGTAGCTGCACTGACCTTCTGGAACTGTATCTCATTTGAAGGGAAAGACTGAGAAAGCTGGATTTAAGTCTCATGGGCCACTGA